GTTGCTGCTGTAATTCCAGTTCCTTTGAGATTCTATTAAAAAGAACTGGAACAATTTTCTCTCTAGAGTTATTGGTTCCAATACTGTGTGCAAACACATCCATTAGCACATCACACTAATATCCATCAGGATTTCACATACATTTCTCCCTGAATTACATAGCAGCACTTCACAAGAAACACAGATTGTAGTGGTTTGCATTCCTACATTTTTCTCTTTCAATGCTGCAGGCAGCTTGCTCCTGCAACAGCAGTTTTATTTTGGGAAGCAAGACCCATAAGGGATGCTTCAAAATACGAAACAGGCATGAGCCATAAGCCTTCCCCTCTGAAAAAATGATTGATTGAAATCTCACAACTTTTGGAAAACAGATTTTCATAAAGCCAGGAAAGGGCACGTCCATGCAGTATCTAAGGCCCCTTCCACACAGCTGAATAAAATCCCACGTTGTCTGCTTTGAACTGGAATATATGGCAGTGTGGACTCACATAATCTGGTTCAAAGCAGATATTGTGGGATTTTCTGCCTTGATATTCTGGGATATAGGGCTGTGTGGAAGGGCCCCTAAGCATCCAACAGATATATTTTCAGAGCCACACAATCACTGCAAACAATATGGTCATAGTTATAACATGGATCAAACTCCTTTAATCGTTCAACTATTATTACCAGCATTTTTGAAATTTGATCAGACTACACCCCTGACCAAGTACAGTTTCAATGCCAGATTCCATACTGATGGGGCATTGTTTTGATTGTATGATGTACATTAATTAGTTATATTTAATTAGTTAGATTGATATTCTGCATCTCCTTCACTGAACTTATGGCAGTGTAACTGTGGTCTGTCTGAGGGCTCTTCCACACAGCCCTATATCCCAGGATATCAAGGCAGAAAATCCCACAATATCTGCTTAGAACTGGATTATCAGATAATGTGGGATTTTCTGCCTTGATATTCTGGGATATAGAGCTGTGTGGAAGGGCCCTGAGAAAAGGACTGGCCAAAGGTCAACTGGTGAGTTTCAGGGCTGGATGGGAAATATCACCTGGGCTTCCCAATTCCCAGTGCAACACACTAACAAGTAGGCAACTTTCTTTTTGTTTAAGTAAGGTAGTTAATGTGTAGGCTTTATAATGATAGAATGCTGAAAACATCACTCTCTTTAACTGCAGAGGCACTGCCATGCCTGTATAATATTTCAGCATGAGGGAAGGTGAAGAAAAGGGCAGCCAAAAATGATCAGGGAATTGGAGCAAGTTCTCCGTGTGGAAAGGCCAAAAATTCCATTTATAAATACAGCTAAGTGCAAACACGACAGTGGTTTAGAAAACTATGAAAAGTATAGTTAAAAGAAAATAAGTGATGTTTCCCCTCCTTCATAATAATAGAATTATTCAGTCAGACAGATTGTTAGCAGCCTGTTCATGAATGCACCATTAAATTTATGAATGTGCAGATTTATTATAGTCATTAACAATTTTACAAAAAATGTTTTAAAGACACATAATACTTGGAACTTTCTAAATAAATAAGCAGCTGTATCTAATAAAAGGAAACCACTGACATGAAATTAAACCAGAACTGTAAGTTTAACAAATACACAGTAAGTGAAGGTTGTATCTAGGTGATGTTTTCCTGTTGATGGAAGGTACTTTGATCCAGTGGCTTTGTAGCCCATGTAGACATGCTCTAGGTTAGGCAGGAGGAGGATTACAAAATCTATCAGTGGCTAAAAATCTATCTCCAGCTCCCCATTCAGGGACATAAGAGAAGTCTCCCACAATGATGGTAAAACATTAAAACATCCAAGCGTCTCCTGAGCACTGTCATTGACAGCCAATTCTCTCACACCAGAAGCGACTTGCAATTTCTCAAGTTGCTCCTGACATGAAAAAAGTGGCTATTTGTTGTGATGTCAAAGAGAATCTCTGTGTTCAGAAGCAATGCATCCAGTGCCTTTATGTCTTACTTGGGGACTTCCCAGAGGCCATCTGATCAATTCCTGTTGGAAGCAGAAATTTGGATTAGCTTTAAGCCTGGGTTCACCTCATGTTCATAAACAGTATAACTGTTTCAAGAGTTAAAAATTGCCTTGATACTGACTTACTTTGTTTATTCATTGGTCCACCCACAACCTATACAAATCTGACAGTGTTTTGGTTTATTTTTTTTTCTTAAACAAGGGAAAAATTACCCCGGGGCACAGCTTCTGTTGTCATTTTAGAACCACATAAAGAAAAAGCTGCCTCCAGCAAAAATACCTACACTGCACAATTATTAAAAACCTTACAACTAATAAAATTATGGGAGTCCTTTCAGGGTTTGGTCCTGGCAACCTGAGTGGCTTTTTGCTGATGACAAGATGAGTAAGTGAATTACTTGATGAAAAAAGTAAATGAAGAGAAAAAAGAGATCTTGTGGAGGAGGTTCTTATAAATGAACTGTCAAATGAAATAAAGTTAAAGGGAAATCTCCTGCTGTAAATGCATAGGTCTGGCACTTCTAATAAAAATCAGGGCCCTGGAGGAATTAATTACATCAACATTACAGAAAGAATTCATGGAATTGCAAAATGTAGTGGCACAGACCAGCACGAGCCGCTGTTGCAAGTGGGCGAAACGGCAGGAGAGTCTTAGCAATTTCTGTGCTGATATGCAGGACATTGTAGTCACATAATAGCTGTTCAGACACACTGGTGAATAATAGCATTCTGGGGTAATGACAAATGATATTGCACATGCTTTGCAACTGAAGTCATGTAACTTTGTTTCTTGGTTTATATATTTGCATGTGTATTCTGCTGCGTGCATGTAAATGTTAAAAGTATTCTAAGAGACAATGATTTCCAAATAGAAAACACTGAAATGAATTTTAATACACTGTATATACTTGAGTATAAGCCTAGTTTTTCAGCCCTTTTCATAGGCTGAACCCACCCGGTTTATACTCGTCAAGGTTATTTATTATTTTACTCTGTTACCATTATTATTATTATTACATTTATTATTTTACTCTATTCTTATTTTTATTACATTTATTATTTTACTCTATTCTTATTTTTATTACATTTATTATTTTACTCTATTATTATTACATTTATTATTTTAATCTATTATTATTATTACATTTATTATTTTGTCTATTATTATTACGGTCATTATTACATTTCCATTATTTTACTTTATTATTTCTACTTTTATTACATTTATTATTTTACTCTATTATTATTGGATGGATACATAAGTATATTTACATTGAGGAAGGTTAGAAGAATGGTTTAATCAGAGTTGGGCTGTCGTATCTTAAATTACAGCTTTATGTAAATATTCAAAAACATTTAACCTATGGATGCCTCAATTAATGAAATTTTATTGGTATCTATTTTTATTTTGAAATTTACCAGTAGCTGCTGCATTTCCCTCCCTTGGATTATACTCGAGTCAATACGCTTTCCCAGTATTTTGTGGTAAAATTATGTGCCTTGGCTTATATTTGGGTCAGCTTATATTTGAATATATATGGTAATTACATTTGGAAAATAAATTAGATGATTTCTGGACAGTTGGTAATACTGGTAGCAAGTGCACTCAATTATTCACAGGCTTCTCCCAGAAAGATCTTTAATCTGAGCAAAAAATAGAGGAAAAATCCTAGTTTAGCAGGATTATGGGCAATCTGGAAGAAATCCTAGATAGCTATTTGTACTATTTGTCTAAAGGGTCAGCATACTATAATGGTTTGAGCCAGGATTTGAATCCCTGCTCAGTTGTGAACCCCCCCCCCAAGTGTTTTTCATAGGTTCACCTTAGTGTTGCCACAAGTTCGAAATGACTTGAAGGCACAAAACAACAACAAACTCTCTGACAGATCCAATTAAATGAGGCTTTTTGGACGATAATTTTCCACCCTTGTGATTTGGCTGGTTGAATGCTGTGAGTATCTATTCTCTCAGTAATCTGGACATCACATATAGACATGTATCAAAGTGGCTAAGATGCATTTATGACTAGGAGAATTATTCTGCTAACAATTGCTGGGCACAAAAAGTTCTTTTCCCAGCCAATTTTTAGAGGGCAACTTAGCAGCTTGCAACTAATTTCTTCATAAAGAATATTTGCTGGTTTCTTAAAAGCAAATATTTATACCATATTACAATTAAGATCATGTTGTTTTTAAATGTTTTACTACTACTCCTGCATTTGAGTCTGCAGAATTCAGAGCTTGTTCACACATGGTTGAGCCTCCTTGAAAGTTCAGGCTCTCAATCCCCTCCCCGCTTTGTGTCAGGTTACTTTATGTAGCACCATTAATCACTTATGCCTAGAGCTGTTTCAGTTAATTAACTGTGTAATGCTGTCTTCATTAAAGAGTAAAAAATTACCATAGCAATAAGTTGTTATGCGTCTATAAATAATTGAATTGCATGTAATAATATTTTTATAAGAATCAGTTTAGAGTTCCATGAAATGTAACACTAGCTGCAAATGTACAATAAGTGAGATTTTTCGACCTCAATTTTCCTGCAATTTCTACAGAAACAACCAGCTACTATAAGTGACATTTGGCAAAATGTACCCAAGGCTAATGAAAACGTATATGCATACCTTGCACAATGACTTATGGAAGCAGAATGTGACATGCTTGATAAAACAACAACAACAAATGTTCAAACTCAGTGGATAATCTAAATTAGTGGAATGATAATATTGCATACTCTCATCTGTCTAATGTTTTGAGGATTATTTTGTAATATTTTATGGACATATTGCATTTTCCTCTGACATTTTCTTCTAATATTTTCCTCTAACGTTTTCTTTAACTTTTCTTTCTTCAGTTTAGCCTTGCATATTAGGCATATGCGTTAGTAAAATACTACATTGTTTTGGACTGGTTTGCAATTTTTTCCGATTTTGAAAAAAAATTGATTCTCTGTAAAACAAATTGTTTGCACCGGGTCACATAATTTTAGTTCTAATTTTAAATATTTTCATAACAGTGACAATTTATACCAAATGACCTCACAGCTTGAATGCATGACTTGGAATCAAATGAACTTGGGATCCACACTTAAAGGGTAAGGTGCTATTTTTTTCTTCCGTTTCCTCCTGAATTTTTACACTGTCGCATTCTGAAGTGATCACAAATGAAATGAAGAAAAGGTTGTGAAAAATTAAGCATATTAGCATGTGGATATTTGTCACTGAACATATCAGACATTTTTAAATTTGCATCCTATGTCAGATCCTGAATACTAAATAAAATTTTGTTTATAATTTTAGGTATAAGTGGTTAAAGTGCATAAGAAAGCATTACTTCTGTTATTCTTCCTTCTGTCCAAAAAAGTTCATTCTAGGTATGGATTGTATTTGTTTTACAATGTCTCAACAAGCATTCTGTTGCCATAAGTGGTTCTAATAGTTGAGCATTTACAAATAGTGGTTTTATACTATAGAATTCAAGTGCCTATTGAGTTATTGTGTAGCCTTATGTCATTTCACACCTAAAACCCCATTGGGTTAAGTGGAGCTTATCATAAGTCAACTAAGACCACTACTTGAAATGTTCAGATATTAGACATGTGCGTGAAATTCATTCCTACTGTTTCTACCATTTCTTTTGTGTCTTCTATTTATTTGGAAACACGAAACGGGAAGCCCCCTCCCCACACAAAAATCCACTAGACATGAAAGCCTGTCTACAGCCTGCTTTCATGTGCATCTGAACTTGCCTCGGAAATAGAGTTTGTTTGTGGCATGGCGTGCAGGCAGGCAGGTCTAGAGCTCAGTTGCAGGCATGCTTCAGGCCTGCCTGCACACCCCGCCACACTCAGAGAGTGTGGCAGGGTGTGAGTGGCAGGGCATGCAAACAGGCTCAGAGCACGCCTTCAGCTGACCTCCCCTTACTCTGGAGTAAGAGGCGCTTGGCTGCAGGCATTGGCAGGCATTCTTGTTTTCTTGTGTACAGTAAACTCATTGAAACTTATATAAATTAGGTAAGTCATGACTAACTTGTCCCATTATTTCAAGGCTTCTAATCTAAGTATGACTTCAACCTGGATCCCACAGAATATATTAACTATTTTTGTGTAATACTTGGTAATGATAACAACCACAATAATAATAATAATCATTATTATTTTTACCATTACTAAGAACTGCACAGCTAAAAAGGGTGATAATATAACACATCAGTTGATAATAAAAAAGCCAACAAAGTGGTTACTTATTATTTTACATTTAACCCCCAATACAAAGTCATTCATCTGATATTTTACTCCCCCTTAGCATATTTGATATCTGTTTATCTGTTTCCCAAACCCAGACAGAGAACTCTGCTGGTCCTTCCAGTGTGATGGCCTTCATAGATGGAAGCCTTCATTATATAGCAAACTTTGTCTCCATTTGGACCATGCTTCTCAAAGCATGATGCAAGACCAAACAGTAGAGTAAAATGCAAGATTAGTAGGACTGGTCAGATAACAACACACGAAGATAATTGACAAATTGAAGAAAGACAGTAGTGGTTGGTGGGCCCCGCACCAGTGGGATAATGACTTCTCTTCAGTTTTTAATCTAAACTTAAATGAGATATGACCTAGTCAAAAGACTGAGCCTATTTTGGAGATTGATTTTTTTAAAAATAATGGTCTAAAACTTCGATCACATTCATCATACCACTAAGATGGAAGTCACCAACAGCTACTGGGGAATGGTTGATTTGTGAAGGAAAGAATCAGAAAGAAAAGCCAAGAAACATATTTATGGAGTTAAGAAGGAAACAACATTTTTTCAATCCCTCTAACAGTCTGATTCAGAGATGATTTAATAACAGAGTACTAAACTATCTGTATTTCAATGTTCTGGCTAATATCAGGGGCACAGTGTAAAAGCAAAGAAGCTATGATTTGCTGCCTCCACCCAACCCAAAGCAAGCCCAACAATAGCCAACTAAGCACCACACCATATACTTAATTCTGTGGCAACACATTTGTACATTTTAGTGTTGTGAAGTATGAAAACAGATTATCATAATTTCTGGAGCGTTACCCTATGGAGCAGTGGTTCTCAACCTGTGGGTTCTCATGTGTTTTGGCCTACAACTTCCAGAAATCCTAGCCAGTTTACCAGCTGTTAGGATCTCTGGGAGTTGAAGAGGAAAACATCTGGGGACCCATAGGTTGAGAGCCACTGCTATGGAGGAAGGAGGCAGAGTTCCAATAAAGACTATTCCTCCCTCTTTCCCTGCAAGCTGCTCTCCTAGCATTTCATGAACTTCCATTCTTTGAAGACTGCATTTCTTCATGTGCACATTTAAAGGGCTTTTTAAAATAAAAAAAACATATAACAGGAACGACACTCTGGAGCATGGAAAGCTGCTGTAGTCTTGAGTCATTTTTGATGTATATCAGTTGTAGCCCACAAAACGACGAAGAGAGCAAAATCAAAACTTCCACAGTGATTGTAGTCATTGTGGCTCCTATTAATAATTAAGCTACATCCCATGTTTTTACTTTCCTTCATCCATTCACACATATTTTGTTTTGATTTTATTTTGTTTTTTCTTTTGTTACCTTCCAACCTTTGCATTTCCACCATCCCTCCCATTTTCCCGAGCTTCCTCCCTACATAAAGTTGTCTTCTCCCACCTGTAGGGAGTTGGATCTGGGCTGATTACAGCTTGTTCAAAAATCTTTTCCTGTTACCCTGGATGCAGGAAGTCCTTCTTGAAGAAGCTGCAAGCTATTAAAGATATTAGATGTAGCTGCAGACAGGATATGGGGGCTGTCATGGACACAGTTCTACGTCTTTCCTGGAACTTGGACCAAGTTGAAAGATGAAGGTTATTGCAAATATGGTTGTCAGAAGAGAGCCAACAACCATATTTAGTACTGACTAGCATGATTAGATAGATCAACTCTTAGAACAATGAGAGTAATAAATGGTCATTTATGAGCGATATAGCTCTCTCTATCTCATTCATTTCTATCTATGTATATTTATATTTAGCAAATATGTGAGCATCTAGCTTACTCATCTGAGGTAAAATGAATATTCACAGATATAAAACCAATTCACTTTAAATCTGTCTTTTGTTGTTACCTTGCTATTTATGTTATGTTTTTTCTTAGAATTCTAGCATTACAATGTTTAGATGCAAATGTGCTATTTTATTATTTTACTATTATTTATTTATTTTATTTCTATCCTGCTTTTCTCTTGCATCGGGACTAAAAGTAGTGAACAACATATAAAAAGCCAAGATACCTCATACAATGACAATAAACAATCCCATCATAAACCCATTTTCATCTAATAAAACTGTAAAACCTTCTGTAAAACATCATAACTGTTTTTTTAAGTGAAAAGGACAAAAATGAGAGAAAAGGATGAGAAAATGTTTGCCTTTGATTGCCTTGTCCCATCTTGAAACCAGTCATCATGAAAACACTAAGCCTAATTTACAATATATGTTATTGAGGGAGTGGTAAAAAAAAACCCCAGAACGAACCACAACAGTAGAAGCACACGTGTCTCTTGGGACTTTTTGGATGTTTATTTTCAGAAGTTTTAAAAAATAACTGGAGAATGGGAAGAAAAAGGTGCCTCTGTTGCAGGGCATGGATACCAAATAGTCCAGGATCACAAAAACATTGTTTGGAAACTGTAAAAGTCACATGAACTTCAGCTGAAATACTGAAAACTGCAGAAATGTTTCACCTTTCTTTTCATCCTCTCCCTTGTTCTTGTTCTGTGCCTTCACCTTGTTTCTTACTTATTTCAATCCTGACTTATTTCAATCCTACATTATCTTGGCAAGATTGGTTCAGAGTGGGTTTTTCTTCTCTTGACATTGAAAGAGTGATTTTCCTAAGCCCATCCAGTGGTTTTATATGGGTTAGTGGGGATTTAAACCCAAGTCTCCAGAATCATAGTCTGATTCCAAACTAGTACACCATATGGTTCTCTTGCACCAGAAGTTAAACCCCTTTTATTTAGAGCAGTGGTTCCTAACCCTTTTTTGACCAGGGCCCACTTTGACCAGGGACCACTCTTCAACATTAGTATCAAAAGGGTTACGAATCGATTTTTGGTGAACTTTAGATTCAATTTGGGGTGCTGATTCAGTAAATTGCATTGGATAGACCACATCAGCTCTAGTTTCTGATACAGAACATATGCCATGGTCACCGACAGGGAAGGAGTGGTAGACGGCACAAAAGGAGTGGAAATAAAATAATTAAAATTAAATAAATAAATAAAGAGGAAGGAGACTCATGGACCAGATTTTCATCCTTGTGGCCCACGAATGGTCTGCGGCCCACAGGTTAAGAATCACTGATTTAGAGCCACATTAAATTCACATCAGGCATTGCTTTTTATTGGGTTCTGCTCATCTTGAGGCTTTGGTACAATTTGAAAGTACCTTGTGAGATTTCTGTCCTTAAAGACAGTGGGAAATTGTAAACATCTCCTAGATGTTTTGAACCATGTTTTCCCTAACCCTGCCTAGTTTTAAAGGATTAGGATAGTCCAAATGCCAGAAGAGCATATTCTCTGTTGCAAGGTTTGTAGTGCTTCATCAGACTGAGAAAGGGAAAACGTGAACCTTGTTTGAATAAATATTACCAAAAACCCTTATGACAGGGTCACCGTAAGTCAGAATTTTGGCTGGCTTTATGAGGGTGGTGGGAGGCACAAAACTGGAGTGACCTGGTTGAAGGTTATTGTGTAACACTTATAATGTGATTGCCTTTACATCCGATTAAAAATGGCAACTAAAGAGTCACACTAAAACCATTGTGTCTGGGTAAAGCATATGCTAAAAAATCAACAGTAAAGTGCCAACAAACAGAGGTCAGTCTGAAAAGTTCAGGAGTTCCTTAACACCACAGCACAGCAATTAAAAAGGTTTTGTGTTTAAACAAAAATGGTCTCCCACTTCCACAACAATTGTTTCCATAACATGATTTTTATTTCATTTCAGTCCAAACACTCCTCATTGACTTTTCTAAGGCCATTTCTGACTTTATCTTTCATTGTCTGCCACTTCCTCTTTAGAGTCTGAACTTAGAATACACTACATTGCTCACTGCAATATTAGACATTGTTGGTCTCTCCTGGAAAAAAAAAATCCCAAAGAATGAAGGAACACATTCAAGAAATCAAAGCAAGGAAGAGATTATTCTTTGGGGATCAGAGTGAAGTGGGAGTGGAAACCTCCTGGATTATTTAGAAATATGAAAAGTGGAAACAATAATATAAATAATATTCTAGGCATCATAATTTCTGACCAGTAGACTTGCAAAGAAAAAGGAAACATAAGATGAAATAATGATGCTCAATTTGTGGTACGGCACCTTTAATTTTTTTTGGGGGTGGGGTTAAGTCAAAGACTAGAATCTGTGGAAAATCTTAGCTAGACATAGTCTCATCCCTGATAATATGAGCCAAAACAGCTATCTGTCTTCTCTGGCAGAGAGAGTTACAATACACAGTGCCTTCAGTTTCAGTTGCTATGGAAATAAGTGACTCTTCCTAAGATTTACATTTCTAAAAAATGTGAAGAGTTCATAATGGTTTCCCATGAGTTTAGTGTTTCAGATATTTTTCTACTTCTTAAAGTATTTAATGGACAGTTGCATCTTGCTTTACATTGAAAAATGTAGTTTTCTTATTTTAAATTGTCAAAGTAAAATCACTTTGTTAGCACTGAAATATAAAGAGAGCATTGTACAGTATTTTCTTTCTAAAAGAGTACTACAGTTAATTTAAGAGATATATTATTACAGTTCACTAATAATGAATTGCATTATTAAAGATTTCATTTTAAATTTAGAAAAACACTATTTTTTAAAAAATGACCAGAAAATTGGAAGGTTGGTACAAAAGATTTGGAATTTGCTAGACTGGTTATAGCACATGATTGGGTGCTATAGTGCATCATGCCATTTCCCATGCCCTAATTATATCCTCAAGGCAATGAGATGCAGTGGTTTAAATGTTGGACTAGGACTTTGGGAGAAGAGAATTCAAATCCTGGCTCAGCGTTGGAAACTCAGTGGGTGATCTTAGGCAAGTCACACTCTCTCAGTCTAAGAGGATGGCAATGGCAAACATCTGATTGAAAACTGAACAAGAACAATTGTTTACTTGTTTCTTCCTATGGGTTAAGGTAGGGAATAATAACAAACAACACAAGACATAACATCAGTTTAAAGAGCATATAAAAGCAATAAAAATTAAAATCCACCAGTAAATACTTAAAATCCACAATTTAAAGCTGAACTAGATAGGTCTGCTGGAAAAGACTGGTTTTTACAACTGTTTCAAATACAGACAGTATGTCGAAGTGACACCCATAAGTCATTCCATAATCTGGAAGCATCTGTAGGAAATCAGTCAACCTAGAACTGGCTGACTGATGTATTTTTATTAATTTATTTATTTCAAACATTTGTATCCTGTCCTTCTCAACCCCTGAGGGGGGAACACAGGGCGGTTTACAACCGGCAACAATTTGGTGCCAACACATACAAACAAAATAATATAACAAAAACTAAAATATTAGTTAAAACATTAAATTATAAAATATCCATTTTAAACATTATAGCAACAATATAGCCATATCCAAGTCTGATTCAGCGTCCAGAGTCCCAGTCCAAAGCCTGTCCATTATCAATTCTCATGAATCATTGCAATTTGTGGATGTCTTCCAGAAGATCTGAGTGTACCCTTTTGTAAGGTTGCCATAAACTGGAGTCAACACAAAGGCTCATAACAGCAAAGGTATGCTCCACAGCCCCCTGATATGGTTGTGTGTGTGTTTTGCCATTCTCCTTAGCAATCCTTTACTGCACATTGGGACAGAACATTGGAGCCCAGCAAGTATTGATACCTGCCATAGTTACTTTTTCTAAGAATTGATTGATCACTAGGTGAATATTCAGGAATCTTTATAAGCCCCAAAGAAAATACCACTACAATGGACAGTAGCATAGAACCTGAGGAGCATCAGCCAAATTTTGTTCATACAACGGTCTTTCTAATTTCTTCCATCTTCTTCCCATTGTGTCAGTCTCCACCTTAAAGTATCTCTTTAAGGTGGAGGGATGAAAAGGGAGAAACTCCAGAAGGTAGAACTGGATAAAACATATGGAAGGATTTGAACAAATTACTTGAGAACATATTTGACTCTTTTGGGTACAACCCAGTGAAGAGTTAAGCCCATTTAAGAGTAGTGAAAACAATTGGCTTAAGTAAACATCATCTTGTTCTGGTGGGCTGAGGATTGACCTTGACTGATGGGACAGTTTCAACAAGTACTTATAACTTTTAATAAAAAGGAAACTATCTTTATAGAATCATTATTTCCAGAGATAACACTAATGTATATTTTTCAGTGCTGGTATAGCAACTTTAAAAATGAACTGCTCATATTACATTTTTCATTTTATGTGTGTAAAATTGGTGTTTTTCCTGTATCTCACATTTAGTTGCCTTTTTATGTTAAAACTTCCTTTTCTTGCTTCAAGTGCTCTAAAAGTACTATGATATTTTTTCAGTGTATTCTTTTTTCTGACTTCAAGATTGATGATGATAGATCACTGAATGTTCAATATTTAATGTTGATTTGTGCTAATTGCTTCAGGGACCCCTAGAAAAAGTTTGTACCACCTTAACTTATTTGAGACTATAATTTTATGTGTGTGGGTTGTGGAATTGCCTGTGGCCCATGAACCACATTTAACCTATGTCTGATTAAAGGTTGTGACAGTTACTGGAGTGTGCAAGTAGAAAAGTGATGGTACGTTTATGTTCTGCCTTAATAAGCTTCCTATAGGCAACTGGTTGACCACTGTTTGAATGGAATGATTGGCTAGATACCCCGTGGCTCTGTTCCAGCAGGTCTCCTCTTATGAAAGACAAGGACCTTATCAGACATAGTCTTCTCTTCATCTTCTCTTTGTTTTCAGGAGCTGGCAAGACAGAGTCCAATGGAGATCATTCCACGATGCACACCTATTTCCGGTGGCTGCCCATGGGAATCTGTTTTGCCAGCACCTGATTAACAGAGAGAAGACCAGACTCCTAATTGAAGAACATGGGGGGGGGGGGGAGTAGGGAAACAACAGGAAACAATGTGGGATAGGAGGTCATTCCAGAAGATTGTGGAAGATGGTAGGGACTGAAGGAGGATGGTTCCCTTCGTTTTCCCCTGTTGCCCCCTGCTGAGGTCCCCAGCCCATCTGATGAGGTCCTTACTGTAATCTTACTTTTCTGAAGGCACAATTTTGTAAAATTAAATGCACTAACCTTCAAAATGTGTGTTTAGGACCAAAATGTTAGAGGACAACTGTTAGGGATCGAATTAGCTGATACAAAATCTATGCACATTCTAACTTCATGCCACAAGCTAGTATTATCTAAGGAGGTACCTTCTGACTGTGGCCCTCCAGCTGTTTGGGCCTCTAACTCCCAGAAGCCCTAACGAACTTGTTCAATTGTTAGGCATTCTGGGAGTTGAAGGCCCAAACAGCTGGAGGGCTGCAGTATGAGGATGCCTGATCTAAGGCAGGTTTAACTTTTATGGATTTGATCATTCACAGACCATAGATTTGCACCAGAAGAAGCAGAGGTGCTCTCTTTGGTAAATAAAGAAGTGCTTTTTTTTTTTTTTGCAGTAGTCCTGTGTTCCTAACCCAGTGAATGTGGAGGGCTGATTGTAAAGGATTACATTGTTCTCCATTGCACAGCTGCCTAGAATGAGTTCTATTGAAAATCAATAGGCCTTCTAATAAAGAAACACACTGAAATAAATGACTGATGGAAGTGAGGATGATGGCTCATGTCTAAGCAGAGCATTTTCAAGAGCAAGATTAAAATGAGCCTTCAGTTTTAATTTAGGTAAAGGTGTCCCCTGCATCCATTCAAAATCTGGAAGGCAAATGTTTATGTACAGAAAAAGTTAAGTGCTATGGAATATACCTTAATAAAACCCCCAGATTCCTAGCCTTAAATTTAAAAGCCCTACATATTTCAGAGGAGAAAACGTGGTTGTTCTGAAAGTAAAAGAGGCCAGAGGTTTTGATAGGGTAACAGTGTCACTGTTTGTTGACTTTACAGAAGGTTAAGCTGTGGTGCATCTTCTAAATTGATGTGTGGGTTAAATAGGTTAGGACACTGATTTGTAATCCTATCCTGTGGCTGCACCACGGCTGTTCTTGTAAATGTCATCACTTTCTCAGCCCTATCTGGTTATATCTGAGTCATGAGGTGCTGACAAAAATCCACTGCACTTAATGTGAAATCTGAAGCATTTTGGTCATTCCAAAGATATTAGCAATAGCCAACTTGGCATTTAGCTGATAAATAACTTTCATACAGGCAGAGCATAAACTTTGGTTCCTCTGTGCTTTTCCCCATCCTTATAATTCACTAATCACATTTTACAGCAAGATAGACAAATCTTGTTTTCTCCACTTGGAACCCATGTTTTAAACAAAATTGGAGTGTCTTCTTCCGCTGTTTCACTTGATGTTTGGATGTACCTGCTTTGGCATTTATTGAAAAAGCCCTGCAAATACACTTTTAGCTTTAAGAACCATGTGTAAAGTCTTCTCTCTCTTTTTTGCCCAGCCACACAACAGGATATGAAAGTGATAACCATGCAGGTCCCTTGTTATATAGCTGTGGAGCCCAATACAGAATACACACCCATGGAGTTTTTCGAGGAATACAAGTGAGTATATGTATGCATTTTAGGAAGAAATGTATGATTTTAAGTGATGGTTGGGCCAACATTAATCATAATGGTTGCTCTTAAGTTTTGTCAGTAATACATGCCAATATGAATATATTTATTGTGTGGAAGATCAATAGAAATTCATTGCTTCACAAAGTAAAGAAAAGGATACTTTAAGATCAGAACAATAAATAAAGAGCAAGACTCAAAAAGCAGGGGAATCCCAGACAAGAATCAATCAGGGCCAGCTAACACCTCCCAAAAAAGGATTCCTCCAGACAGCAACCAGCCAGGCCTTGAAACTACAGGCCATTAAATCCCAATCAAGGTTGCAAATTGCAACATTTACAAGTACCCCGAGCAGACAAGAGTTCTTTCCCCACAGACCTCACAAGCTCTGAGGATGCCCGCAATAGATGTGGGTGAAACGTCAGGAGAGAATGCTTCTGAAAAATGACCATACAGCCCAGAAAACTCACAGCAACCTAAAGAAAAGGAAGGATAATATTTCCTTTTCATTAGAATAGATTTGAAAGTACATTGCTAACCAGCTTGACAGTTTCTCTAAATCTGAAAGCCTCAAGTGAGGTGTCTCAAATAGTAATGCTTTCTCTTCAGATAATACGGGATGACAATTGAAAGCCTGCAAATTGCCTTTCATGAAATACCAATATTTTTGTATTTCTTGAAGACATTGTTGTTAAAAAAAAAACCCCAACAAACTCACAATCCACCAAGTTCCCCAAGGCAAAGTAAAATGAGTAAAAACATTTTAGACCCAACTAAAAATAGTACTAAAACCACAGAGAACAGAAAAGCAGTTAAAAAGAGTTAAAATCAATTAGTAGCCACCCCTAATGTTAAGAGTCAAAGGCCAACCTGAGGGCCCTTCTCCACTACCATATAATCCAGGTTATCAAAGCAGATAATCCACATTATCTGCTTTGAACTGTTTTATTTTAGTCTACACTGCCATATAAACCAGTTCAAAGCAGACAATCTGGATTTTATATGGCAGTGTAGAAGAGGCCTGAAACATCATGGTCTTTGCTATCTACTGTAAAGTCAAATGGGAGCTCATTGACTTTCCTTGGAGGGAGCTCTATAGTTGAGATGCAGCTACAAAAAAAGCGCTGTCACATTACACACCATGTTCACCTCATGGGTTGCTGAGACATACAACAGAGCCTGGGCTGAAGATCTTAGATGTACGGCAAGCTGATAAGAGGGTATTTCATATGTCCCTGTCTCTAGTCTTCTTAGGAAATTATAGGTCAAGACCAGCACCTTAAAGTAAGCTCAGTACAATGTGCTTGATGAAATAAATAAAATGATCCAGATGCAACATAGTGTGCATTCATGGGAGGGCATTTAAGGTAGCTGGACAGTTCTTGCGTACATTACACTTCTTCCCATTATTAATTTGCCTAGATAATATATTGAATCTTCCCCACTTTCTTGGTGCCATTGCAGGATGTGCGGCGAGTGCCTGGAGTAGCTCCTACAATTGTCAGGTCAACCAGTGAGGCAAATGAGAAACGGCCTTTCATGTGTGTATACCCTGGCTGTAACAAACGATATTTTAAGCTGTCTCATCTGCAAATGCATGGTAGAAAACACACCGGTAAGTCTTTTTATTGATTCCTAATATTTTTTGTACCTAGTTCTGGGTCTCGCTGCCTTTGTCCTCTCTCTGGTGAAATTACTCTTTCATGGACTCCCCAAAGGGAGGCATTCTTTGTACTTCTGACAATTCAACACCAATGAGTATCATTCTCTACCATTGTTACTATGTGCCATAAGTTTTAGACTTATGGTAAATCTAAATCCATTGAGTTTTAATGGCAAGATTTGGTCAGAGGAAGTTTGCCTTTCTCTGAGACTGACAAAATGTGATTTGTCCAAGGTCACCCATTAGGTTTCCACGGCTGAGCAGGGATTCAAACCCTGATCTCCGCAGTCACACTCCAGTGCTCAAATCACCACATCATGCTGGCTTCTATGTAATGACTTACCACACAACAATTGATGAATGGATTTAATCTAGTTGTAAGTAATCAGTAGGATCTCAGCCTAAATGCAGTAGTTTTCTAGATGTCACAACACTGCTGATTTTCTACAACCAAAGTGCTTATTCTAAACAGGTGAATCCAAATTTAATTTTTCTCTTGCCCCATGAATGATGCTTGAAATGGAACATACTGAAATAGAGATTCATATTTTTTGGAAGTATGGGAGTGAGACAGCTATTTGCTTATCAAAAGAGAAAAGAAAGGGGGATTGTAAGCTTGCCCTTTGTCATCACTTAGACATTTAGAGGCAGCTGACTCATTATATTTTCTGCAGAGTCTTGCTTTAGATAGTGTTACCATCTGTAGAACGCTGTTACACAAAACTGCAATTTATATCAGTGTTTATCAATGATTCAACACAGTTTTTGCTGACACGTTGTGCCCCCTGTGTCTGTTTACTGTGTGCCTTCCTAGTATTAACAATGACATTAATGAAATTGATATAGTCATAAAATGATACTGCTGTCTTGGAGCATCATGCAGTTTCTAAATATAATGAAAAAGACTCTTAACAAACTGGCTATCGTGGCGATAAGATTTCCTGGAGTTTCCATCTGGCATCAGTATAATCCAGAAACAATGACTCATGCATTTGAAGATTTTCTGGAACTTGATGTACGGTTTGGGAAATTGTTTTTACCACCAAAAAGTGATGCAATTTTCCAGACAAAGCTTTCTTCTTAGTAAAACTGTAAATATACAGTGAATAGAACTGATTGTTGTTGTCATCATCATACTGAAGAATATTTCTTATACATGAGTATATAATGTCAGGTTAATTCAGAGAGTATATAATGTCAGGTTAAATCCCACACATGGATTTATTGATTGATTCAAGAATTATTTGGTGGAAGTTTACCATTACCTTTTATGTGTGTGTGAGTGTGAAAGAGAGACATGCTGAAGCTCACCCAGTGAGTTTCTGAAGTTAAGCAGGGAATTCAAATTCTGGTCTCCCAGAGCCCTAGTTCAGTACCAAAGGCAGTGCACCACACTGGCTGACTACTAATGGCAATATATTTCTTGATATTTTATTGAAAGCAAGCAGTGACTTCTAACATGGAGTCTTCACGTGCAGTTGGATGGCAATTTCCATAATCTTGTGGAGAGAGGCAAATATAACTTTTTTAAAAAATTAATTTTATTTTAAAAAGTTTTAAAAGTTACATTAAAAGTAAAAAGTGAATCAAGAAAATAAATATAGAGTAGAAACACAAAAATGCCAAGAAAAAAGAAGAAAAAGAAGAAGAAGAAGAAGAAAAGAAAAAGTAGATGATGTCTGATCTATCCTGACATGCAGAGTAACAAATATATCAATGCACAGAGGCAGTTCTCCAAGAGAAAACCAACTTCTCCACTTTGGCTTTACTTTCATGCCAATTACTGACTTTGTTCAAATCTTAAAATAATTCTAGGTTACAAATCTTTTAATGACATGAAGAACTGCAACACCTCAAGTATTACTGACTGGTTCTCCCCATAAAAAAAACAACATACAGTATTTTAAAAACTATGCTTCTGATATTTCCCTGTGTACATGCATTGCTTTACATGTATTGCTTTACAATGGTTTCCTAGCCATAATTGGAACTGGAGATTTGATCTCACTTTGGATTTGATTCTGGGCAATGGAGAGATGAGTAGTGAATCTGACCTTTTATGAGTTTTGATACTTACTGAAAGAAAGAGGGAAAAAAGGATTACTGCTATCTAGTAAGGTGCTGGCCTTAAACTCCAATTATCAGACAAGTTTCTATGAAATCATTTTGGCTTGAAGAGAAAATGAGTGGAAGACAGCAGCCTGGGAACATCTGGCTATTTCTTGCTAGTTTAAATTTATAGATAATTCCTCTCTCTCTCTGTCTGTCTCATCTTCCAATCCATTTGTTCTTCCTGTAAGGAGTGCATGGGCATTACTCACACTTTTGTCAATGAGGGTATTTCCACATGTAGAAATTTATTGTATTTCCAGTAACAATGGTTTGATATCTATAACTCAGAAATTATACTGCAAAAAAGTCTTCCATAGATGTATGCAATTACCAACACATTGGATGGGGCTTGGGAAACATCCTAGGATGCTTCTGTGCCAGTCTAGCGATGGATGGGCACACTGTCCATCCCATGATGTTGATGGACATCTGGTGGAGGCCCTGCCCACAAGTGGAGATAAAATGTTGTATGACGCTTTTCTCCCAACATGGAAGCTTGCCCATGTTGTGCTGGCTCCATTGGAGGCAGCACAGATTCTCGCTGCTTGCGCGATGCTTCCCACAGGTGATGGGGAAAGTGTCACTGCAAGGGAGCAGCATGTGACGTGATGGATTCACCCCACTGCCTTTCTTCGGCAAAGCGGGACGCCTCACCTGGCTTTTGTGATACGGTCATTAGTCTTCTCCATTAGCGTGTGATATTAAATATATTTTACCTCCTATTTTTAATTTGCGGCATTCAAGGCCACTCCACCAAATCTTGCAGAATTGTGTCTTTTAGTACCAAAAGTGAACTTCTGGCTACTTCTAATTTGATTTTCCGTTCTCCAGTTTGCATTTTCAGGTTGGTGCATGGAGCCACTGCAGAGAGCTAATATGGTGTAGTTGTGTTGGCCTAGGACTCTGAGAGACGAGGGTTCAACTCTCCTGTCAGCCTGGGTGAACTTGGGCAAGTCATGCTTTCCCAGTCTCAGAGAAAGGCAATGGCAAACCTCCTTTGAATAAACCCTGCCCAGAAATCCCTATGATAGATTTGCTTAAGGGTTACTATAAGGTAGAAAATCATTGTAGACAAACAACAAGCAGCCTGTTGTAGGTATCGTAGATACAAAATTGCTTCTGGAATCCAGATCCCCTGAGCTTGCCTAGTCCTTAAAAACAGAATATTCTGGGGAAAATATTGAACTCAAAGAAACGTTGACTTTACTGCTGATAGCCCTTGTACTATGTGATAAACACATATCTTTGCTATGTGTGACAGCAGTTGTTGGAAACATCATACTTTGGCAAAGTACTTGCAACTGAACATGCTGTCGATACTAAACAAATATTGAAAACTGATAGTAATTGCTCTGATACGATTATCAGAAATTGTAACATTTGTAACATTATTGAAAGCCCCTCACAGGCATATACTTGCTAACAAATGCACTGCTTGGCCCTGATGTATGCATTTTTGGTGCATTTTTAAAATATGTTAGTTGTTAAAACTTAGGAGATGTGAAAAGATCCTGAGTTGCTATAGCAGTCATGATTCAAATAGTAGGTTAATCTAAGACTCAAATAAGGATATTAGAACCTAATGCAATTCCTTTTCTCAGTGGTTGATGTTTCTAATCAGAAGTGCAGAGATGTGGGAAGATACTAACAATCAGAAGAATGCGAATGACACATTATATTTGAACATATTTGTCTATAAACAAGTGACAAGTATGTGTTGCACATTGAAATAAAATAAAATAAAATAAATGGCAACAGCAGTTTGAGCAGATCTCAGCGATGCTTTGGCTTCAAAAAAGATATAGAAGTTCTAGCATGGCTAACAATAACAAAGAGCTGTTGTTTGCAATGTGAATGAAAGAAACCTATCTCACTGTTCTGTGTAAATAACTGTGCTTTAGCCCTGTTTTGCACTGCATGTTGGACACTATCATTTACTCAGTGCATTCTGTTCCATCAACAGCCCCACTCTCTCACTAAATCTGCCAAGGTTTAAGACTGTTTCCGAGTCACTTTTTAGGCTCAGCAATTCCTGTGGGAGAGTTTGTGGTCAGATTGGAAAAGAATCATTTTTAAAAACATGTGACAATTATAGTTCTTTACATAAAAATAAATTAAATTGAATAAATGTGGAAATAATGCTTTTGAGGGTTTAACAGCCAGTATGCTACTTTGGGTACAGGAAGTTATAAAGATGGAAATTCAACAGTGACATTTAGAATGTCATCTCATTGCTTACAAAAATCTGTTAATATTTGAGGAATCAGTTGCTGCTTGGAGTAAGTTTTACAGGATCTTAAAGTATGTAGGTTGTACCATATTAGCAAGATGTTCAATCTAGTTTACAAAAATCCACAAGGTTAAACCCTTGTGCCGGCAGGACTGCTGACCAAACAATCGTTGGTTCAAATCCAGGGAGTGGGATGAGCTTCCATCTGTCAGCTCCAGCTTCCCATGTGAGGACATGAGAGAAGCCTCCCACAGGCTGGTAAAGCATCCACCCGTCCCCTGGACAATATCCTGGGCAATATCTTTGCAGACAGCCAATTCTCTCATACCAGAAGTGACTTGTAGTTTCTCAAGTCGCTTCTGACACACACAAAAAGGAACTTGGGAGTATGCAGCAGAACATGTCACACTTAGCTTCTTGGCAAAATGAAGGTCTGATACTGAATTTTTTAAAAATAAATTTTTGAGCAGTTGAATCTATGGATGCAGAACCTGGGGGTATGGAGGCCTGGTTGTATTTATTTTAATAATATATATTGGCTTATTACTTTAAAAGCAAATGTTTCTTGCATTCCCTCTTAATTTGACAAGAAAAGACTTGAGATATTTGTTGATATATCAATTTTGCCCTCCAAGTTTGATGACAAGTGTAAATAGAAGAAAATTATAGTACCAGAGTTAGAGGTAATTTTCTAGGTTTCTAAGCTTACAGGCATTTACCACTATCTGAGGGGATGCCATATATATATATATATATATATATATATATATATATATGAATAGAATTGAACTTGGAATGAAATCACTGTCCGTAGAAGGAGGCTGAATTTCAGCCTAAACTCCAAAGAAAACATTGAATTGCTCCAACTAGTTTGGAATCAGAGCTCAGCACTTTGAGTTAAGTTCTTTTAAAATTTGAACCAAAACTTGGAGTGGGCTCACCACCTTACAAACAAGGAAATCTCGAGCTGCCATTGATGATAACTCTGAGACAGAATATGATCCTAGAAGGAAACACAAATAGGAATGTCATACCTCATGACAATATGACAGAGAAAACTCTTCTGACAATCTTGTGTGCAGGAATGTGATTCAGATACTGAAAAGAAGAATATGAGCAGGTTAAATTGACTTGCTTTTAGAAATTAGTCCATTTCTGTCCCAGCATGTGGCAGAGCTCCATTTCTTCACACAAATATGTATGCTTATCCAGGGCCGGTTTTTCCATTACGCGAAGTAAGCGACCGCGGAACACTTTGTTTTTCCCAGGGGTGCTCATGCGCCTCTTTAAATGCTCCTCCAATTGGGCCTCGTCCCACGCGCGGTGGCGGGGACGGCAGGAGGAGACAGAAAAGCTGCGCATGGAGCAAGAGGGAAGGGAAAGGCGCGCGCCTCTGCTCTTCCCCTCTCGCCCCGCATGTGCCTTTCCTGGCGGCAGAGGCAGGAAAGGCGTGCGAGGGAGAAGAGAAAGGTGCACGCCTTTCCCTCCCCTCATGCCCCGTGCATCTTGTAGAGCGGCGAGAGGAGTGTGGGGCAGCAGCGAGGCTTGGCCATCTCCTTCTCCTCTGGGCGCTTCTTCCTTCTCCTCTCCGTTTAGACACCTCCAAATGGAGAGGAGGAGGAGGAGGAAGACCCTGGAGGAGAAGGGGGGAAGACCTCGCTGCTGCTGCTGCTGCTGCTCTGTGCCATCCTCCTCTTCTCACCTCCTTCGAGGCGAGGCATCGAAGGGGGCGAGAAGAGGGGGGTGGCACAGAGCAGCAGCAGCAGCGAGGTCTTCCCCCCTTCTCCTTCTCCTCTGGGCTCTTCCTCCTCCTCCTCTCGGTTTAAGCACCTCCAAATGGAGAGGAGGAGGAAGAAAACCCTGGAGGAGAAGGGGGGAAGACCTCGCTGCTGCTGCTGCTGCTGCTCTCTTCTCGCCCCTCTTCTCGCGAGAAGAGGAGCGTGGGGCAGCAGCAGCAGCGAGGCTTGGCCATCTCCTTCTCCTCTGGGCTCTTCTTCCTCCTTTCCATTTGGGGATCTCCAAACGGAGAGGAGGAAGACCCTGGAGGAGAAGAGGGGAAGACCTCGCTGCTGCTGTTGCCCCACTCCATGCTCTTCTCTCTACCCTTTGAAGCCTCTGCTTTGCCTGGAAGGCTCAAAATGTTCCAGCAGCATTCTCTCCTGACGTTTCACCCACATCAGTGGCAATCATCCTCAGAGATTGGGAGGTCTGTTGGAAACTGACTCACCCCCATTTCCTTCTCAGCTTTGGAATTATTACTATTATTATTATATTTTATTATATTTATTATTCTATTTACAATTATTATTTATTACGTTATTATTTTTAACATGAATTATTTATATTTATTAGATTGTTATGTGTTATAAATGGCAGGCATCTTCAGAGGTTGGGAACTCTGTTGGAAACTAGGCAAGTGGGGTTTATATATATCCCTGTGGAATGATGTCCAGAGTGGGAAGAAGGACTCTTGCCTGCTTGAGGCAAGTGTGAGTGTTGCCATTGGCCACCTTGATTAGCACTGAATGACCTTGCAGCTGGATGCCAAGTTTTTAAACTTTGTGTTTTCTATATACATTACAAATTTACCCTTGGTTTGCTTCTGATGCAGCAAATAACCTTGCAGCTTCAAAGCCTGGCTGCTTCCTGCCCGGGGGAATCCATTGTTAAGACATATTAGCTGGCCTTGATTGACTCTTGTCTGCAAGGCCATTGAATGCTAATCAAGCTGATGGGATTTGGAGTACCTTCAACTGATTCAGCTCAGACTTCCACAGACCATTAAAACTCCCATTAATGACAGATCTGAACCAAACTTGGCACACAGAACCTCCATGACCAGCAGAAAACTCTGGAGGGGTTTGGGAGGAATTCACAGTAATAGGATCCTAGTGTTGCAAGAGACCTCCAAGGGCCATCCAGTCCAACCTCCTTCTGCCATAAGGGAAAAACACAATCCAAGCACTCCTAACAGATGGCCATAGAGACTCTGCTTAATAATAATACTATTATTAATAATAGTAATAGAATCATAAAGTAGGGAGACCTCCAAGGTCCATCCAATCCAACTTCCTTCTGGCATAAGCGAAAAGCACAATTGAAACACTCCTGATAGATGGCCATTTAGACTAATAATAATAATAATAATAATAATAATAGCAGCAGCACCCTGGGGTAGTGTGGTGGTATGCAAAATAAAGTAATGAGAAGCAGCCAGAGATTTTTTTTGTTTGACAGACATAGATTGGATTAGTATGTGTTTTGCTGCCAAATTTGGTGCCAATTCGTCCAGCGGGTTTTGAGTTATGTTAATCCCACAAACGAAAATTATATATTTATTTATATAGATAAGGTTATTCTATCTTTAGTCGTCTCAGTGGACTTACTTGTTGTGGTCCAAAATATTTTATTTTCTTTGGAATTGCCATGCATTCTAGAAGAAGTCCTTGCAGAAAGGAAGCCGTTCGTTCCGTAAACACAGAATATTTATTTAAGTGTGTGTGTGATGGAATGCATTGCAATTTGCAATTCCAAATAAAATAATATATATATATGTGTGTGTGTGTGTTCATGTATGTATGTATGTGTATGTATATGTATGCATGTATTAAGGGCTGTTCTGTCTTCAATTGTCTCAGTGGAATTGTCATAATGCAAAGATCTTGTATTTTCTGTGAAACCTTTGTGTCATACTTGTAGATCAAAAATAACAACAAAAACTTAAAATTGTTGCCAAGTTTAATAAAATATTTGCATTTAAAAAACATTAATTTGTGTTAATTCTATGTAATGTAACTATATGAACATAATGTTAGTAACCTTCTGGTTTTAAGGTAACTCTTTATTCACCTCTACCTTTTTTTTTCAGTGATTGGTTTTTGTGTGGGGGGGGGGGCGCCAAAATAATGTTTGCTTACCATTGAAAATTACCTAGGGCCAGCCCTGTGCTTATCTCTCTGCCTCTATTCTTAGTTTGAAATTGGAGGTGGTAAAGCCATTTCATATGGAAGTTATACCTCGAAAGAATGGATCATAGTAGTGCAATGGGTTAAACCCTTCTGCTGGCTGAACCGCTGACATGGAGACCTGAAGGTTGGCAGTTCGAATAATAATAGGGCTGTCTGTCAGCCCTAGCTTCCCATGCGGTGGCATGAGAGAAGCCTCTCAAAGGATGATAATGCATCCAGATGTTCCCTGGGTAAAGTCCTTGCAGACTGCTAATTCTCTCACACCAGAAGCGACTTCCAGTACATTCTCAAATTGCTTTTGACACAATAAAAAACCCTCAAAAGAAGAATGTGAGATGATTTGTAATATGATAGAAACAAATATCTTATTGGAATTCATATTGAAAAATGTTCTTAAGAGTTCTGATATCTGCTATCTTTAAATTCAAAGGTGGGAGAAAGATTGCCCAAACATTCACATGATAATGGATTTTCTCCAAGATACTACATGAATTTTCCAAGTTGCATATTATTAATTAAATCATTACTTTTTGTCTGTAGACCTATACAGTTGCCATTTGATGTCTCAAAATGTTAAAAAATCTGTGCTGTTACTATAATGCCAACTTCATTAAACAGGCTACATACTGAAAACAAATATTCACAATGAAGTACAGTTCCTGATATGGAGATAATATGCATTCAAGAAAGATATACTATGAGTGTTAGACTTACTTAGCCATAGTTACGTAGGTTAGGAAACTCCTTTTGAAATCGGTTGCCCTATTTGTGTAGCCGGGGTGGCAAAATAAACCTTTGTCACACTGTAAATCTGTTGACAGTTAACTGGAAAAAGTCTGGTATAAAATGTCTGTGCTAAAGAACACTTATGGCAATTTTTCTTAAATGTATTTTTTTTGCTTGAAACTACATTGCATATATATACTGGTAATTGTGAACTGTTATGTATGTGAGAACCATTGTAGTTTGAATGTTTATTTCATGACGAGCATCTTTATTCAGCCACCTCACACTTTTCCAATATACTTGTTTTTGTCTAAGGTGAAAAACCATACCAGTGTGACTTTAAAGACTGTGAACGAAGATTCTCTCGTTCAGATCAACTGAAACGACACCAAAGGCGACATACAGGTTGGTTGGATGTCTTAGCTTTGGATTTTTTTTTAGTAATTTGTAATTTCTCTGATCTGGAGTGTGTGAGATAGAATTTTATTATTATTATTTAAAATCAGGATTATGGCTCTCACAAAATTAAACTGAAAAAAAGCAGTATTGAGTTTCTACTTTCATTGTTATTAAGGCTCAGAAAATGGATAGCATCACAGGTCAACCACCCCATGGTTGGGGAGAAAAAAAAGATTTGTGCCTTTTAGATTCTAGTTAGATTCTGGACAGTGTAACTGTTTGTAACAATAGCGGAAGCCTGGAAGAATGTTGTCCGTTGACTTATGTGCTCCTGAGAAGTCATCCTGTCACTTGAAGCACTTGGTTGAGGGCTTGCCCTCTGTCCTCCATAAATAATCAGCTTGGGAAGAAAAAGATTCACTGCTGATTGTACTCTTTAATGGCTTAAGAAATGAGCTAGCCAACAAAGCTGAGAAAGCACTAGGAGTGTGCAAAAAAGAATGGCTCAACTGTTCAGCCATCAGACCTCACCAAAAAGAAACATGCTTTTAGGGGCCACAACACACACTGCATATATATGTAGGTTATGTATGTAATTTAGAATATAGAATTAAAATAAACAGGATGTCCTGGAACTGTGATATCTTTAATCTGGAATTGTTCAATGACTTAGGTAAAAATTTCTTCTCTTAATTTATTATTTACTAGCTGTCCCCTGCCACGCGTTGCTGTGGCCCAGTCTGTGTATATGTGTGTTTGCGCATGTGTGTGTGTATACTCATAAAAGCACTGAAAAACAGCAGAAGAGACTTTAAAAGTCAAAAAACAAAAATTACATTACAACACATGCACAAAACCATATATATATATATATATGTGTGTGTGTGTGTTTTGTGCATGTGTTGTAATGTAATTTTTATGAGTGATGGTCACTCGTTGGCCTGATAGGTGTATTGTGTCAATTCTTCCAGTGGTTTTTGAATTATGTTAATCCCACAAACGAACATTACATTTGTATTTATATAGATTGGTAGCATTTATATCACACCCCCAGTGGCACAGTGGGTTAAACCGCTGAGCTGTTGAACTTGCTGACCAAAAGGTCAGTGGTTCGAATCCGGGGAGCGGGGTTAGCTCCCCCTATTATCTCCAGCTTCTGCCAACCGAGCAGTTCGAAAACATGCAAATGTGAGATCAATAGGTACCACTCTGGTGGAAAGGTAATGGCACTCCATGCAGTCATGCCAGCCATATGACCTAGGAGGTATCTATGGACAATGCTGGCTCTTTGGTTTAGAAATGGAGATGAGCACCCCCCCCCCCCCGAGTCAGACTCAGTTAAAATTAATGCCTTTACTTTACTTTTTTATATCACAACTTTAAGCTCAAAGTGGCACACATATCATCGAGGCACTTTTAAGTAAAAGTTGTGCACCTAATTCTAGCTTTTAGACATCCAGTGGAGACAAATAACACATAATGTTCAATCGATGAATCAAGAATATAGTTTCAGATTGGAAGTTATACTTCCGAAGGCTTGCAGCTTATGTGTGTAAAATATATTTGCATCTCTATATTTACTCCTGTGAAAAAGATTTCTCTTCAATCTGAATGTCAGGACTGTGTGTAGCTGAGAGGTTCCCACAGATCAGCAATAGGAATAGTTTACAAAATGAGTTGTCCTCTTCCCACTTCACAATGAGCATTTTTGGTAGGTCAGAGTGACCAGCACAAAAGGTTACCAAGTAAATGTGGTTTTGTGGAGACTAGAATGTAGCTGCTCCAGTTCCCAGCTCAAGTGGTGTTGTAGGTATGGTAATACTGCACTTTTGCTTTCTGTAATTTAAGAATCTGATACTCACAAAGTAAGATTGGGGGGATCTGCTGTCCATATATTTTCTGTCTCTTCTTAATAACAGTGACCACCATATACACTCCTATTTTCATGGGAGAGGCAAAAGAATACGTATAGATATAGGATTGTATATGGTGACATTACACCTACTAAATGTTATTGAACCCCACCTTTTCTCAGTGTCCTGATACAGCGAAGTCCCTGCATATGTTTTCATAAAATATTCCAGTCTATTTTAATGCTTTACAGAAATGGAATTGTACGGAGCAGCAAAAAATTGTGGCTAGAAAAATATACCTAATTGTGTGTTAATGGCGTTAAAGGATGCTTTATTAGTTGAGAAGAAATAATGCAACATTTCTATCAAAAATATGTTGTGTGGACTCCAACAAAATATAATCCCCATTTTTTGGGAATCTTTGGAATTAAAATACCTAAACCAATGCCTTAAAACTGAATAGTGTTGTTTGTTTGTATCACAAAGGCTCCCACATGGCTTGATGGATCTGGTCCAAACTTAAAATAATCTGGAGGCTTGAACTAACCCCCCCCCCCCGCCCCCCCCAAAAAACTCTACTCCTTTGGGGCCCATAGCTGAGGGAAAGAAAAGGAACAAAGCAGACTGGCTATTGCTAGGTGATAGGTGTATATGGGGAAGGGAGGAAGGAAAGAAAGAGAAGAAGAAAGGAAAGAAAGGAGGGAAGGGAAAAGGAAGGGGGGAAGGGGAGAAGAAAAAACGGAAGGAAGGAAGGAAGGAAGGAAGGAAGGAAGGAAGGAAGGAAGGAAGGAAGGAGAAGGAAGGAAGGAAGGAAGGGGGAAAGATAAGAGGGAAAGAAAGACAAAGGAGGGAAGAGAATGAAAGGGAAGAAAGAAGGGACAAAAGGAAGGGAGAGAAAACAAAAAAAGAAGATAAGACAAAGGAATTGAAAGGAAAGGAAAGGGAAGGAAGGAAGGAGAATAAGAAGAAGAGGGATTGCAAGGGAAGATGGAAAGAAAGGAATTGGAGAGGGAGAAGGTGTATGAGGTAAATGGAGGAAGAAAAGAGAAAAGCCACAAAGACATTTCATGACTGAGCAATACTGTGCTGAAATAAATTTCAAATTTACATAGAATAGTGCACAAGACTTTACACTATATATAAAGGCAACCAACATCCTAAGGTATTCCTTATTTGTAGCATTTCAAGTTAATAAAATAAAAATAAAAATAGTTTTAAAGTAATCGTCTCTTTTTGCCAAGAGCAAATGTACTATGAAAGTATTAATGGAAATTAAAAAGGACCAGAGGGTTGCAATTTATTTATTTATTTATTTATAGTCCGCTTTATCTCTCCATTACAGAGACTCAAAGTGGCTCACAATAAAAAGGTCCACTGGGTTGTATACAAATGTAATTAGAAAAGTAGTAGATAGTAAATCTAGAAATTCAGAAATGACAATGTCCCCTACTCTTCTTTAAATGTATTAGAATATGGGAATAGACTTGTTTTATCTATTTAGGTGTGAAACCCTTCCAGTGTAAAACCTGTCAGAGAAAGTTCTCCAGATCCGATCACCTGAAGACTCACACCAGGACTCATACAGGTAAAACAAGTGCGTATACTTTTTTCCAATTTATATTTTTTACTTTACTTTACTAAACTGATTTTGAGCACATCTACACTGACATTATAATGTGACTTCAAGGCAACTTGAAACTATGGCCGCCAGTGTGCACCGCACAGATTTAAAGTTACACAGTGCATTAAAGAAAGTCATGGGAACATCTAAGCTGTTTAATGCACTGCAGTAGATCCCAACATATCCTACATCCCAAGGTAAAATTGGCTCAGCAGAAGGTGGAGCACATTGTGGACACCCATTCTTGCTAATGTATGGTACTTTATACAATTTGGAACAAGGGGTTAGGGGGCTGCCAAGAAATGCCCTGGCTAGCAGGGGGTTAACTCTGGGAGGAGAAATTAACTACTTCTACTCCTGCCACTTTCCCTTTTCCCAAGATCTGATGCCTCTGGAGCACTAGTGTTTGCATCTCCAAGAAATTGAAAAACTCTGCAGAGTGGTCTGAGGCTAGGATCTATGGTTAATATAATCACCCACCTGACCCCAAACGAGTTCCAGATCTGTCAATCAAATCACTTGTGCAGCAAAACCTGTTGCAAGAGATACTATAATGTCAGTGTAGATGGGTCCTCTGCTGTGATTTAAATCCTTAGAGCATTTCTGGTACACTGCTGAATGACACCTGAAGATACTGTTTAGAGATAAGCTGGCTAATTTGTGGACTGGAAAATACTGTTGACCTTTACCTTCTACCATTTCTCACTGGCTTTGTTAACCTCAAGTGGGATTTTCAATCCAATTCTGAAGGAATAGGATGGTATTTTACATTAAATGAATAGAGATTATTATCGCCATCTAGTGGAATATTAAAGCAATGTACAATTGCTCATGCAGGTTTTTTTTTAGATTAAAATCCCTATTGGAGATTAAAATACCTCTAGTTCTGCAGTATTCAGTCCAATGTACCAGGCGAGTAATAGGGGAGCTGGATTGTACTCCTTGTTTTAGAAGAAAAATCTTGTTTTAAAAGGAGGAGAAGTTTACTACATGTGAGACTTTCTGTTCTTTCAGGTGAATTTTGAGTATCTAAAGATAGAAGCCACTGAGATAGGCTCATATTTTGATAAGAATGTAACTACTGATTGTGTTGCTTTCAGTACAATGATTTTTTTTCATGTCAGGAGCAACTTGAGAAACTGCAAGTCACTTCTGGTGTGAGAGAATTGGCCGTCTGCAAGGACGTTGCCCAGGGGATGCCCAGAAGATGTTTTGATGTTTTTACCATCCTTGTGGGAAGCTTCTCTCATGTCCCCGCACTGGGAGACGGAGCTGACAGGGGGAGCTTATCCGCATTTTCCCTGGATTCAAACCTGCGACCTGTTGCCGGCACAAGGGTTTAACCCACTATACCACCATGAAGATATACGATAATGATGTTTATTGTTACCCCACTTTTTCTGTCTGCAAAGGAAACTCAAAGGGGACCACCCACCAAAATCTTTAGCAGTTTAGAGTAGTTAGTAGTCTTACTACACAAAATCTATCCCCCCCCCCCCCCACCCATGTCATTCACTGAAGGTCAAACTACATGTTATATTAAAAGCATGCTTGAATTTAGGGCCTCAGATTCTACACTTCTGAAAAAAAACCCAGAGACATGAGTGGAAAGGTGGTACTGATGTGAATCAGGACCACAGCTTGATGTGTTTTCAACTTTCCCATTGTCTCACAGAAAACTGACCTCCTGTCTGTGTTGAATACAGGAAAAGATACAGGGTTTGTCTCCAGAGCTGCTACCTTTGCAGATGGGGGCAAAAATGTCCATTTAGAGAACAATTTTCAGTGGGATGGTGATGCTGCTTCATCTGAAGGGCTGGGATCTTTTGAAGGTGTATTTGAAAGTAAAATGATGGAGGAGTTCCAGGCAAACAATTTAAACAGATCTTTAATATAATATGTAATGTGTTCTTGAGAACTTTATTCTGAACTTTATACTTATTTTAAAGGATTGATCTTAAACTGATCTGCTTTCTGGGTGTCTTTTTTATTTTTTAGCATTGTGATGTTATCGTGACATAGTGCTCATTGCTGATAGTGGTTGGGGAAAAATGTCTATCATTGGTTGCCTTCCAGTATGCAATACAATGGCTGACATAGCCATCAGTTGCAGTTTCTTCTCCTTGAATTATTCTACTAGCACACAATAGCAGCAAAACTTATTATTGGTTTTATTGATTTTGAGACAATTTTCATTAAGGAATTTTCTGAGAATTCTACCTTCCCTTTAAACATAGGATATAAATATGCAAATTAAAACTTTATGTGGCAAATTAAAAGGCGAATGCCCTTTCAAAAGGTTCAGTAAAAAAATAACCAAAGCCATCCCCCCATGGCAGCAAACCAGTGTGGCTCAAAATTCCCACTCATCCATAAACCTGCTCTGAATGATTTTGGGAAAGCCTCAGAGGAAGGTAAATACAAACATCCTCTGAACAAATCTTACCAAGAAAACACCATAGTTAGAAATGACTTGAAGGCACACAAGAACAATAACCTCCCAGAGAGTGATTGATTGAAGGTAATTATATCTGCCTTTGAATGCTAGCTGGATGGGAAGACTTCTGCAATGGGACTGAGTTCTTTAGACAAAGATGGTTCCAGACAGGACTTTAATGCGAGTCTAATTGGGTTTGAAAATCCCGATTGGGCCCTCGTTAGAGTCCACACACCTGCCCAATATCCGCACTTTCCTGGGGTGTGTGCACATGTGTGTGACCAGATGCCCTGCTGGACCTTCCAGCAGGGAACCAGGACACAAAAGACCCCTCCTCCCGGCTTAAAAATAAAATAACTTGATCGCAAAAGAATTCGTTTTTATGCCTCATGTAAAAACGTGGGAGGGTGCGCATTTCAGAAGCTGTCTGGATGTGCCCTAAAAGTATAATACAGGCAAATTTACAAAAATATTTATAATGACAATGAAGAGTGCAGTGATTCTTGTATTTGAGCATTAGCTGGACTCATATAACCACAACAAAGCACCAGCTATTATGGGTTGGGTACATGCTTTGATAAGTATTCTGTGATGGTAAAGTTTCAACCTATGCTAGCTTAATAATTGTGTGTTTTGTTAACAGGTGAAAAGCCTTTCAGTTGCCGGTGGCCCAGTTGTCAAAAAAAGTTTGCTCGGTCTGATGAATTGGTCCGTCACCATAACATGCACAACAGGAACATGACTAAACTTCAGCTTACTCTTTAGATGTTTCATATTTACTGTACAAAATTGACTCATGGACTATTATAAACATTTCAACCATCATCTCTCAATTCTTTAAGGAAAATTTTGGATGCCTTCAAAATGCATTTGAGAGAACTTAACTAAACGCTAGGATTCGGATCAGATCAGGCTTCTGCTTGGAATCTCGAATCTTCCTGTTCAAAGATCTCAAATGGTTTCATTTTCTAACATTATTATATAATTCCAAGTTGATGATTATGTTGAACGTTAAATATTACTATAAACTCTTGTTATGTATATTTGTTCTTCTGGTCAGAAGGTTTTGTACTTTTACTTGAAATTTGCAAGTGCAAGCTAGTGACGATGCTGTCATGTTCATATGTAATGACTGATATGTGTGAAAGTCCCTTCATGCATAGTGCTGAAAACACTGAGGTTTCCAAAGACCACTGTAATCCTGTACAAATACCGTATTAATTTTGGTAACCTTTATAGCAGTCAAGGGGAACAGTTTTCTATTCTGTGAAGCTTTGTTGTCAATAATTCCAAATATTTTGCTTGCAATTCTCAAAACTGTGGGTGTTAGGGTTTCTTATAAGCTTATGCAGTTTGTATGTGTGTGTCTGTATCTGTGTGTGTGAGAGAAAGAGAGGTCTTCATCAGAGTTCTCCAGTCCACCTGCTTACACTGTTTCCACAATTCTCTGTGTTGAAGACAGGAAAACCACAGGGACTAGTGCATCTGATGCAAATCTCTTTCATAAGTTAATTGCAAATTTTTGTGGCTATTTCTGTGAGATTGAGCATGCTCCTATACCCCCTACATCTGTCCACACTCTGACCATGCCCTATCAAGAGTCTGCAGTCAAATGAAGTCTATGAGCATACCACAATTAGGACTTTCCCTGCACAATCAGAGATTTTACTTTTTCAAGATTCCTCATCACGTGAAGCTTTGCCTATGTGCAAACAGTTGTATATTGATATACTCTATAAAGACTTTGAATGAGCATTGGTCAAGAACCTGCTACAGTGACAGTCTCTCTACTTTGTACCTGTGTGCATTAAATCTATTGATCTGAAACGGCCTCAGCCTGCATGATGACAAGACTGATTATAGAATAGTTAGTGGTGCCCCCCCCCCCCCACCAAATCAAGGACTCCATGAGGTTTACTAGATCTCTAACTGACAAGAGTGGAGGCCTGGATGGCTACACTACTGAGAGAAGAGAAGCCTACTTCCTTCCCCTCTTCTTCCTTTCTCTGCTTCCTCTGTTGTATACTTTTTACAAAATTAATGATCAAGAGATGCTTTGAATTTTTTTAAACAACCAAAATACCAGACACCAAATCTATGACTGGGTACCTTGATTTTCCATCACAGCATCCTGATGTCCCATCACAGGACAGGCACATAATAAGCTATCCAGCACCCTATTTTTCTTTTTTTGTCCCTGTGACAGTAGACTGGAGGATTGCTGGTATATTTGCAGTCTTAAAGGGACATGACAATCCATTGCATACTTTCCTGGTAGTAGGTTCCAGTGTCCACAATTGAACTAACTTCTGAACTGACACAAATAGGATTGTGCTGTATAGCAATACCTTGCCTAGAGATGTCCCCTTCTGTTAGTGTCTACGGGAGAGAAACTCAAAACTAGAAAATGGTTATCTTTTTTTTTTTTGAAGATAACAGTATCTTTCAACACTGCAATTGAAAATCTGGCATTGAACCTGACTTGTTTGTACCAACAACTTTCATGTACAGAAACTGTACATTGTTTTGTTTGGTATCCTGAAACTGCTTTAAATTTATTCCATTTTAAGACACAAGTTCTTGCACAAAACCAAGTCAATATTATTGTAGATGTTGAGAATTTGTTTAACAGGCAGCCATGCTGGTTATATGGCTGGCAAGTTGTATAAAATTAAAATTAAAGTTGAATTTAAGAAGAGGCTGGTCCAGAATTTCCATTAACATATGACTCTTAAACTAAACAAATGGCTCTTAAGTGACTTGAACGTGTCTACATATACAATTATATGTACAAAAAGAGATGCCCAATGTGAGGAAATATATTATTTCAGGGTTTATTATTTACTATTAATTGTTTGGAGTGGTGTACATATATCTATAAATATATATCTAATAATGTATTGCTCTTAAACAATTCAAATTAGAAAGTGAATAAATATTAGATGCATCATCAGATGTTGCTGCAAGCTATTGCTGCCACAAAGACTGTAACCTGCATTTTTCACTGAGCTATCAATTAAAGGCCATTTAAAGAGAAACAAATAAGAGTCCAGCAGATGTCTTGTTTCATGGCTGGTCTTAGGTTTCAAATTTCTTCTCCAAAAGTGTTGACCTCTTTATGTATATAAAGGTACCACCAGAATGGGTGACCACTAGTTAACCTGTCCAGGTCTTGACCACAATTTATCCTTCTCACTGGGGAAATGTCCTGACAAGGGTATCACATTTCATATTATGTTGCAGAGAGTGTTTCACTCTGCCTCCTGGACACTTATAGCCCTCCTCTTCTAAGAAAATGATCTACAAGCCACTGGCTTCAATGAATTACCTCTTTTACTTTGTTGCACCAGAACAAAGATTAGAATTTCACTGTTTCCAAAATCACAAAATCATGCCTCAGTCTTGACACAATTCTGAATGTATGTAACAGCCTCCTCCATATCCTTTTATCCAATACTTTGCTACAATGAGGTTACATAGGTGGGGGTGCATTTTACCCTCACAACACCCCGGTGAAATACAATAGGTTCAGAAAGAACAAATATAGGACCATCCAGTCAGCTTCATGGCTGAGTAGGCTACTGAACCCTGATTTTCATGGACATACACCAGTGCTCTAGCACACTACTGGCTCTCTGTTTTCATGATGATGCTAACAATAATATTTATTTTTACCCACCTCTCCCTATGGATCAGGGGTGGGTAACAGCAACAAATTAAACATACAGGTGGTCCCTGAGTTATAAACATCCAACTTACAAAATACTCATAGTTACAAATTGGGGCGGGGGGGGGGGGGAATTCCCCAGAAAACCCCAGAAAGGAAATTCCTTTGGGTAACAGTTGTTAGTAACTGTTATATACTAACAACTGCCAAGTAAGTCGTACATAGAAGTTATTACCATTATTTGTTCAGATCTTAAGCTTGGATATGTATTAGATTGGGAAGTCACAAAATTTGATTTACAGCAGTGGTATGCATTTCACAAGGTTAGTTGACATATTGCTACCAAGCAATTGCCTCTCAGTTGGGCCGTCTAACCATTTTGTGTTACTGTTCACTGTATGGTAGGTTTTAAAGATATGCAATTAAAATATTCCTAGTGGACACCTAAAATTACAGATTGGGGTACTGTGGAATGGTATATCCACTGTTCTGCCGATCATGGGCTGCCTTTAGAATTATCCTGTAGTGTCAGGATCCCAAATAGTCTCTCTACTTGCCTGTTTTTGATGTGTTCTGCAACAAGGAGACTGCTGCAGGTGTAATTTTCATGTGCCTCAATCTGCTGTGCTTTGCAAACTCTTCAACTGAATTGCTGTAAACTGAAACAATAGGTTTTTACAGGTTGGTGGTCATGCCATCAGAGATAATTATAATACAGGTCACACACTATCACTGCAGTTACTGTTTTTATGATGCAGCCACTTGTTTTTACAAACCAAAAGTCAACTTCTAGGTACTTTGAGACATTTTGTAAGCTATCAGTCTGTCTCTATAGCTCCCAGAGTGTCCCGGGGAGAAAACTGGCTCATGGATCTATCATGGTGGCCTATCCCTGGCATAAAACAACACACATAGGATTTTACTGCTATGGTTGTTGCTGTGTGCCTTGAAGTTATTTCTGATTTATAGCAACCTCAAGGTTATAGATCTATCTTTTTGCCAAGATTTGTTCCTTACCTTCCTCTGAGACTGACAGAACAAGACTTAGGACCTCATCACATTTCTCCATCATAGAACACTTGGTCTCCATTTCAAGGATGAAGAGACATGGAGCCCATCACATGACATTCAGTGCTGTGGAGGAATGGCCATTCCTCACCACTTTACTTTCACTAGGTGTAAAATTGTGCTCTTGCTAGCTTTTTAACATAACAGTGGTCTAATGGAGGGAAAGAAAGCTTAACAGGAGAAGATCATGGCAAAGTGGTTTAAAATTTCATTGGTATAATGAAAGGAAGCAATGCATTGCAAGAGGGGATCATTGCAAATGGGTTTAACATTACACTGGTATAATGAAGGGAAGCAATGCCTTGCAAGAAGCAATCATGGAAAAGGGTTTTAAAATCCCCTGCACCCCCTACCCGGCCCGGCAAATTAGAGGAGGTCCATAGTAATCATGGTTTTTGTATATTGAAGTTTACCCCGATTTTTTTTTTAAAAAAAGTAATTCAGAGAGTGCAGAGAAAAGGGTTCCCCATGTAAAGGTAATGAGTGTGGGCAACAATGGGGGGAAAACTGAAGAGAGAAACATGTGTGATGGGAACTCACAACTTGAAATGGGATGAATGGGTATCTAACAGTAAGATTCACTTTGCTAGAGAGACTGTCCCCAACACTTCTCAAGATCCATGTGATGAGGTCCTTGTTCAAGGTTACCCAGTGGATTTCCATGCCCGAACAAAGATTGAAAACCTGATCTCCAGAGTCTTAATCCAACACTCAAACAACTACAATTCTTTGCTGTAGTGACTAGTATTTAATCTGGGTTATATGCTTAGGGCAGGCATGTAGCCGGGGGGGGGGGGGGCTTCGGGGGGCTTCAGCCCCCCCGAAATTCTCATGGTGGTTCGCGAAAAGGCCTTACTGGTGCATTATTTAAACTGTTGTTTATTCATATCATGATCTGATCACCATACTCAATATATCCCATATGCATGGGGGTATTGGGGTAATGATACAAAAGGTTTGCTAGGCTAGACCCTCTTTCAATCAGACTCAGCCCCCCCCGAAACTCAGCCCCCCCGAAACCCCCCCTGAAAATTGAAAAGCAGTGTGTTTGTGTATGAATATACTTACATATGCAAATGACTACATGACATACTCTGATGAACTAGGTTCACAAAGGATCCACACAACTTTAGTACAAAATATCCTGCCTTGGTTTGATCCCACTAATGTCATACTCATCTGTTTTAATCAAAATTCTAATTGGTTCTGAAAGCCACACAGTCCGCCCAAAGTCATCTTGGTGCAAAAGGGCATTTTTATATCGGATGATTTTAAGTTACACAAAATTGTTGGGTTCTTTTTCTTTCCTGCATGCAGTGCTGGAATTACCTCTGTGCTTAGTTTTGCTTAAGCACAGGGCCCCGTTGGTCAGAGGAACCCATATTCCTGCCATTTTTAAAAGGATGGATGTTGTTTATGTGGTCTAATTTTAAATTTGAAAGTGTTCTGTTTCGGAGTGATTCCAAACATAATGATAGAGTTGATAGTCTATGGGAATCTGCTACAAAGCAGGCAGTGTAGATCTACCAAGTCTACCTCCTTTAGGGCCCAAGTAAGGGGTCTCATTACTTAAATAGCACAGGGCCCCATTTGTCCTAAATCCAGCACTGCCTGCATCAGGCATGTAGCTGGAGGGGGGGGGGGGGGCTTGGGGGGCTTCAGCCCCCCCCCGAAATTCTGATGGTGGTTCGCGAGAAGGCCTTACTGGTGCATTATTTAAACTGTTATGTTTATTCATATCATGATCTGATCACCATGCTCAATATATCCCATATGCATGGGGGTATTGGGGTAACGATACTAAAGGTTTGCTAGGGTAGACCCTCTTTCACTCATACTCAGCTCCCCCGAACCAAACTCAGCCCCCCCGAACCAAACTCAGCCCCCCCCCCCGAAACAAAATCCTGGCTACAGGCCTGGCCTTCATGTATACATATCTATCTGCTTAAACCAATCAAAAAATCTCAATAGCCTTTCTTGTTTTTCTAGCACTCAGTCCTACACTCCATTGGATGTCTCTTTCTCCTTCTATGAGTGAACGAGCAAATGTGGGAATTTTAAATGTCATGGTCTAACTAAATGAGGCATTCAATTACCTCAATGGACAATCAGACACAGAGATGGAGAGAAGGTTGTGTGTGGCTATGAGATGGACAGAATCAGCAGGATGAAGGAAGGGGACAAAGGTATTTGCCCCATTCACTTGTCTCCCTCATTGAGCCACTTGTCTTCTGCAGCTCCTCCCAATCTCCCCTCCTTCTTCCTTGTTGCAAAGTCCCTCAGAGTTGGAGCATCCTCCAACTCTGCCTGAAATAGGGCACAGTTTAATCCAGGATAACCCATCATATTCACCTGAAATACAGGAAGGTCATGAGGACAGCCAGGAGTGAATTCAGAGTGAGTTTAGCTTTTTATGGCCATATAAACTTCTCCGAAGTCTCACTGATGTCTGTGAAGCTAACATCTGTGAGATCCTGCAGATCCTCAAATTATTTTAAACACTGTGGCTAAAGACTCGGGATGGGCAGGCCAGCCAATTCAATTTTCTTTGTGCATTTTGCATTTTTACACGCACATTTTGCAAAGCAGCAAATCCCTGTCGAAAATGGAAACCCATTGAGTGACCTGGGGTTAGTCACATTCTCTCAACTTCAGAGGAAGACAAAGGTAAACCCACTCTTAATAAACCTTTTCCTGTAGAAGTTTGAGTACTGGACTAGAACTTGGGAGACCAATGGGTCTTGGGGCTCCAGTCCTCTCACAATGAGATGCATTATCAGGAGATTTTGGCACTTAACAGCCATCAGTACAACTCTTTGCAGTTGTTTTTCTATGCCTACAAGTAATTCGCGATTTATTGCTATTCTAAGGCCTCTTCTACACTACCCTATATCCCAGGATCTGATCCTAGATTAACTGATTTAAACTGGATTATATGAGTCTCCACGACCAGATAATTTGGGATAAAGAGATAATCTGAGGTCAGATCCTGTGATATAGGGACAGTGTGGGAGGGGCCTAAGACAAATCTATTATGGGATCATTTTGGCAAGATTTGTTCATAAAGGATTTGGCTCTGCCTTCCTCTGAGGCTGAAAGAGAGAATGATTTGCCCAACATCACCTAATGGTCTGTCTGAGATTTGATCCCTGATTTTCAGAGTCCAGCACTTAAACCATTTTGGCTCAGGAAAGATATAGTTAGTTACCAGTATATACTTCATGCAGCACCCAGATATGCTACTGGGTGAGTGGCATTAAATAGTGAAAAAACTACACGTTTGCCTACGTACTCCAGATTGCTCTTATATGACTTCT